CTCCTGTACCTACTTTTCATACATTGCGCTGCCTGCCCTGTGCACATAGAATAGTGGTTAAGGCAGAAATAAGACCTTTTGCGGTTATTAGTTGACTCAGTTTAGCAAGGAGAGGGGAGCGCTTGGTTTGATAGAAAGCATGTCCATATGAAAGAGGAGGTGACACTGCTACTAACATGCTTTAGTTATATAACCTGCTGTAGTTATATGCATTTTTTAAAATCATCTTTCTAACTGTTCAGTCTTTAGGGTCAATTGCTGCAATCCAGCTCAGTCAACTGGCACAGTCACTTGCAATGAGGCTGGGGGTGGGATGGTCATTTTAGCTAATATTAATGGTAATTGTATAATTCCATATACTATAATACCGTGAAAGCGTGATATTTTCTGAGGCGGTTATCATACTGTGAAAATCTCATACTGTCACAACCTTACTCACAAATCAATTTGTCGTGCAGCCCTAGTGTGGAGAGGGTGGGGTGCTGATTGATAGTCATGGGTGTTATTCAGTTTTTGAACTGAGCCAGCTTTGCCCCTGCCTGTTTCTGAGGGTCACCACGGCCCCTCAACGCTAAGACAGCCTCTGTCACAGACGGTTAGCGTGCAGCACTGCAATGGGCATTAAGCAGGCTGTAACCGCAGCGCTGTGATGATGGCTTCATGCCCCACTGAAACCCAGTGGATGACAATTATGCTCAGAGTTAAGATGCTATCTTTGACTCTTTTCTTTTTCTCTGTCAGTCTTGGTGGAACACATCCTCATTGTGTTCATCCATTCTGCCTCTAGTTCTTTTGCAATACACGTCTCTTCTGTCTTTTTGAGATGCCTCTTCAATCTGTTGTTGCTGTGCCTTTGCTCTGTTCCACTGTTAACGAATAGCCCAGCATTTTGTTTTGTCTGTGCATTGTGTATTCATTATACCCTTTACGAGACCTTCCATAGTGCTCTACAGATAGCTGACTTTTCATCTCAGGGTGATGTTATGTAATGTACAATCTAAAATGGGATAAAAAGGACATTTTCCATTCACTGACAAGGTGCTACTGACCATTGCCAGCATAGTATTGAAGAGTTTTCTTGCTATTTGCTGGTTACATGAGGAGAATGGAGGAAATGGAGTTAAGGGATCACAGACTTTATCAAATCAAGAGTGTGGAACATCATTGCGTCTTTAACGAGACAGTCAATTGTGAGCTGCAATCCAGATAAGCAGGAGAAAATTAAGTTAAGGAAGGTAAATTAACTTAAGCGGGGTGAGGATGGGTGGGTGGGTGGGGGGGTATACGCTTCTGGCATGTTTATGGTGTGTGTGTGTGTGTGTGTGTGTGTGTGTGTGTGCCGACACATTTTACAGACCCACTCAAGCTGTCACTTTGGTCTCAAGCGGTACTTTCTCACAACCAGTGAGTGATTGTTCCTGATGGCGTTTCTCCCCCTGTTGTGGGGACTGTTTTTGTATGCATGTGTGTTTGTGAGTATGTGCATGTGTATGGACCTAGCTACCTTTACCACATCACCACTTCGAAAATAGAGCCTGTATTCCACAGTCAAGACGAACTGAATAGTGATGGAAAATCAGATGTAGTTTTGTTTCTTCTTGTCATGTTGCTTTCTCATTCCTCTCTCATTGTTTCTCTCTCTGAGCTTGCAGAAGATTGCACACACACGCTGCAGTAATGGGTTCATCTTTCTCACAGTTTCTTCTTCTTTTTCCATCGAGTACACCCCTACATCTCTCCCCTTTCCCCCTCCTGGTCTGTGGCTCTTATCTGCTTGCTGTAATGCCAGTAGTAATTGGAGACTAAATCCATTTGTGTTCTATGAACCAGGTCTTTCCCAGTCTACTCAGTTCCCCCAGCACGGTGGATTAGCTGGTTAACCCTAGCTAGCCGGTCTGTCAGCCAGTCTACCCTGGCCTTGCCCGGCTGTGCCAGGGAGGGCCAAGTCTTTCAGCCAGCCTTAGCCAATTTGACAATTAAATTCTGTTTAAATCCAAGTCAGGCTTTCCTGGATCGCAGCCTTGGCCTAGAGACTGGGTGTTTACTCTGCATTTAAAGGAGAAGAAGAATTTCACATGACTCCAGAGGGAAGCTTTTTTTCTGATTTATTTTAAATGTCAAGGAAATGTTACAAGCAAGATTCAAACAGATCTGTTTTTGGAGGCTTGAGAAAAAGGCTGTTTTTATCTTCAGTGCACATGGCTGTTGATGTGTTTAATAGGACAAAGAAAAGGGGAAAGAGGATGAAAATGACAAGTATGAAAGTGACACAAGTGGCACTGTCTGTTCCAAATGAGACCCAGATACACCTGGGCAGGTCACTGCCCTTCATACCCTGTGAACTCTTACCTTTCAGGCACAGGCGGGTTTGAGCATGCATGTGACATCCTACGTTCCTAATGCCGCAATCACAACTACACAAACACCATCATCATGCCAATCACTCCACAATATGGATAATGACATCCTAAAGGATTGTAAAATCAATGCTATGAAGTTCCATTAATGAATTGTTGTGCTGGCAGGTTTATAAGGTGAACCCATGTATGCACATTCACAAACACATGGGCACAGGAACACAGGCCCAGAGCTTTGTCTGCTTTTTGGACTCTGCTAGAAAGCCATAGGTCAGCTAGAGCAGGAGACAGAGGAAGAGATGGAGGGTGGGAAGGAGAGAGCGAGGAGTCCTTGTTAACATGCTCTTTGTGTGCGCTCCCATCACAGTCTCGCTGGAGCAAGGGGATTCCGACCAAACTGGTTGGTAGCTGGGAGGGAGGAAAAGGAAGAAAAAAGAAGTGACAACAGACAGGAGGAGAAAGAGAGTGGGGAACTGTGTAGAGCGGAATTTTCTGAAGCTATTTCAGTCGGGATGTCACTGAAGTACCTGCCTTTTAATTTTCTGGTAGTCGATGGAAAAGCTTTGTGTGCAGCAGGGAGGGGCACATGCTGAGGTGGCAGTGGGGAGGGGTGGTGAGCGTGTTCAGGGGTAAAACAGTTTAGGGAAGAAGGTGATGGCCACAAGGTGGCCACCCTAGAAAGGAGAAAACTGGAGATGGGGTGTTGTTCAAGGGAGGGAAAAGAGGAGGAGAAGCTGGAGAGGAAGCGAGGAGGGCGGAGGGGGGGAAATGG